CAGTGGTTCTCAACCTTTTTAATGCCGTGACCCCAACCGGTCGTAAGTCGAGGACTAAACCGGTCGTAAGTTGAGGACTACCCAACCGGTCGTTAGTCGAGGACTTTCCCTGCCCGGGAGCGCCGCGCCCCTGTGCCGGCCGAGGCGTAGCTGGCAAGCGGCAGAGACGGAGCAGGCTGACCACCAGCTGGCCCAGCCCAAGGGAGGTAAGGCACCCGCCGGAAAAGGGGAAACAAAATGGCGGACAGCCTTGCTTGGCGACCCCCGTGAAATGGTCGATCGACCCCAAATGGGGTCCCGACCCACAGGTTGAGAACCACTGTGCTAGGTGGTCCTTTCTTCTTTTTCAGTGAAGATCCTAGCTTAGAAGATCCTTTTGCTCAGCAAAGCTCTTCTGCTCCCCTTCATAAAATGGCAAAAGGCAGGCTAGATCGGAGCTCTCAAGTGGGGTGCAGAGGACTCTGTCCTGGGCTGGGGTCTTCCACACCTTTACCAATGACTTGCATGAGACATTTATCTTGTCTGCAGATGACACAAAGCTGGAAGAGATGGCTAGTATTCTAGACGATAAATAAAAGACTCAGAAAGATCCGGGCAGGCCGGAGCAGGGGGCCGAAATGAACAGCAGGTCCCAGGAAGAAAGGCCCAGTTCTGCATTTATGTAGGAAACAGAAAGGCATAAAAACAGGATGGGGGAGGGGGAGGCCTGGCTTGGCAGGGGCACCTGTGACTTTGGCCCTGAAAGAAATCCTGCCAGAACTCCCAGGGACCCTGTTTGGGGAATCTGGCCTGATCCTTGCCTATGGTCTCTTGACCCAGCCCAGGATCTCCCTCCCGTCTGTGGCTCAGGGTGGTTAGGGTCGCTGCCCCGCCCTGGCCTGCACTCCCTCCAGCAACAGCAGCAGCAGCAGCAGCTGTGGGTCAGAATGTCTGCCCTTGCGTGGCACCCAAGTAAAGAGGTAGCCTTCTCTTAGGCAACTAGCCCAGCTTGGTGCTGGCTCAGCTGAAATGGTGAGATGCCACAGGGATGCCCTGGAAAAGAAAAGGGTGGAGATGCATGGGAAGGTGTTTCTAGCACCTAGAAAGAGGGCCAAGGAGAAAGCCAGCAGCAAACAGGTACCCTCCCAGCAGAGAGAGGTAAGGCTCAGGCATTGAACATGTTATAAACACGTCTTTTACAATCCCCCCCCCGACCTTATAGAAGTATCCTCAGTCTCTAAGGCAGTGGTTCTCAACCTTTTTAATGAGTCGAGGACTAAACCGGTCATAAGTCGAGGACTACCCAACCGGTCGTAAGTCGAGGACTTTCCCTGCCCGGGAGCGCCGCGCATGCACGGTTCCGCCCCCTGCGCCGGCCGAGGCGTAGCTGGCAAGCGGCAGAGACGGAGCAGGCCGACCACCACCTGGCCCAGCTCAAGGGAGGTAAGGCACCCGCCGGAAAAGGGGGAAAAATGGCGGACAAAAAAAATGGCAGACAGCCTTGCTTGGCGACCCCCATGAAATGGTCGATCGACCCCAAATGGGGTCCCGACCCACAGGTTGAGAACCACTGCTCTAAGGGCCAAGCTCCACAGCCATCTTCCTCAACTGGCCTTCCCTCCTGGCCTCGCAGTGGACATCCAGATGGCCAAAGCGATCCATGGCTCTTCCGGGATGACAGTGGGAGGACGGCTCCTTGTTTAGCGCCACTGTAATTCTGAACAGTTGCTGAACAAGCGCAGGCTAAGCCTGGGCCCCTCTTCCTCTTCCTCATGTTTTCTGCTGGGCAATTTCCCTGCTATTCGTACACGGTTTATAAGCTAGCTGGCTGGCTGGCTGAAGCAGCAGAGCGAACGCACATCAAGGAATGCGTACAAGCACACAGGACAAGAGGCAGCGCCGTTTCATTTCGTTTCATTCCTTCCAAGGGCTTCCACTAAAAGTGTTGCCCTTCCCTCATTCCGCCCAACTGTCCATCCACGATTCTCAGGCCCAGCCCAGATGATTGGTCCAATAATTGGCAACAGGAAAATCATGATTTGGTTGCACTGCCTCCTCCAGTGGCGGAAGAAGGGATGGCAGCCTCTCGACACACCCCAGAGCAGCCCTCGAGTCCAAGCTTAGCTGGCTTTTACATCACAAAGCGGCCGCCCAGGATTTAAACATGGGCACGGCCACCTTCCTCCTCGGTTTGGCAACTGAAACAGAAAGGACAAGGCGGATGGATGAGGGGGCCTCTCTCTCCCCTTCTAGAAAAAAAAAGCTGACACTGGGCAAAAATTATCCTCAAGAGGAGGAGAGGACAGGAAGGAGGAGCCCCCCACCCAACCACCCAGGGCAGAAGTGGCCCCTCCTTCTACCAAACCGGCTCACAGCCTCCAGGAAAAGGGGCCGCAAGAGAGACGGGGGGGGGGGGGGAGGCTTCTGTGCACGTGGCCACAACAGCTCCTTCTCACTTGGCTCCTTTTCTCTCTGCTAGGAGGAGGAAGGCAACAAGTGTCACCGTACCCGGGGGTGGGGGAAAGCAATGGGGTCCCCCATCCTTCTAAAGCCCAGTCCTGCTCCTCCCCTGGAGGAGGGGAGGGGAAGGGAAGTCCAGTGATAAAAGCTGGGAAACTTGCTTTGAAGGCATCTCGGCAGCTCTAGGGGTTCCTCAGAAGGAGCCACGACTTTTGAGGTCCCTGGGACGAGGCGGCTACTCAATCTCCATGATCAGATCATCCCCTTCTAAGCTCATGCCAAGCTTGACATAAATTTTCTGGACCGTGCCTGTCACGGGCGAGTTGACCACGGTCTCCATCTTCATGGCACTCAAGACGCAGAGAGATTGTCCCTTCTCAACGTGCGCTCCTTCCTTCACTTTGATGTCAATGACTTTCCCTGGCATGGGAGCTCCCACTTGGCCTTTGACGTCCTTCAGGGCTTTGGGGTGGAAGTGCATCTCCTGGCAAGGCAAGGCAAGGCAAGGTTAAGAGGGGGGAGGGCGCCCACGGCTTCCTTCCATCGCTTCCTGCCCAAGGCAGAGTGCCAGGGGGTTGGTGGAGACAGAGGATGGAGGGGGCGGGCGCTCACAGGAAATTATACGCTGAATTGGGTGACAATAGCAGAACATGTAGGGGCTACTAGCATTAGTAATTAAGCTAAATATCATTTATGAATAAAAAGATGTATTTTAAATGCCAGTGATTTTAAAGAAGATGAATAGCCCTGTAAAGCAGTGGTTCTCAACCTTTTTAATGCCGCAACCCCAACCGGTCGTAAGTCGAGGACTAAACCGGTCGTAAGTCGAGGACTACCCAACCGGTCGTAAGTCGAGGACTTTCCCTGCCCGGGAGCGCCGCGCATGCGTGGTTC